TACCGGTGCCAACCTACAGTGTTCTCTACAAGCAATGTTAGAGGGCTGAAGGCAGGTGCAGATGTCAGGTCTCTGTGATGGTCTTTGCAAAGGTCTATGAAGTCTCAAAGTCTGCAAAGGTCTCGGGGTTTCTGTTCCAACAAATGTTCCTGAAGAATCTGTCTGCAAAAGACCTAATGAAGCCACCAAGCTGCCAGCTGCTCTGCTTTATAATCCTCTTCAGAGCCCCTGCCTTTCAAACTGTTTACAATCCCAGTTGTTTGATTGGTGCCAGTTGAGCTCCAATCAGATTAGTCCATTTACAATCCTGAATGGTTTCCAAAACCTTGAATGGCACTGGTGAGAGCTAGAACTTGAAGGATTTGTTTACAATTCCAGCACTGAAACTTGAACTTTAATACCCTAGTGCCCTAGACCTCACTGGTCTGCTTCTTCCTGTGAGACCGTCTTGAAGTTTCCAAATGATAAAACCTTATTATTGAATAGCACCTTGAGAGAATCTGATAGAAGACCCAGAGACACCCACCCTCTGAACTGACTGGGGCAGAAGAGGCTCACAGAAGGGGATTAGGAAAAGTTTCCCTACTCTTTAAGCGAAAACTTCAGAAACTTTCTGTTCAGATTGTGGATTATTTTCATTTTCTCTTTGCTCACTTATGTTTTTATTTTCCACAGAAAACACAAGAAGCACAAAACAAAAACAATCCAAACCTCTAAGCCTATGTTTTTTTATGATTTATTTTTATTTATATATACAAGAACTGGGGTGCAAGCCAGAGGTGTGGGGGGTGAGAGGATTCACCAGAGACAGAGTGGGGAGCAGAACAGGCAGATAGACTGAAACACACTGTTGAGGGGAGCGGTGGGCAAGGCCAGAGGGTCAGCTCCACTGGCCAGGGATCAAACTCGTGCTGCAGTGGCTGTGGCCAGCTTCCTAGTGCTGTGCTTCAACCCCCTGCACTAGCAGGGAGGCCCACAAAGCTGTTTTTTAAGAAAGTAATCTACGGGCCCTTCACAATGAACCAATCTGATTGGTGATGTTAGCATCATCAAGTGGTTATGACTTTGTGCCAACAATTAGTTCACGTTCATCTGGCAGTATGCTTCACCCTTACTATATGTAGACCCAAAGCTAGTTTTCTCATACCCACCCCTCCCTCAGAAACACTCGATGCAGAAACCGGGGTGATGTGTTCTTGGGTATGGTGTTTCCCATGGTTGCCTGATTCACAATGACCTAGTTCAAGGCTGAGTTGCCTCCAGGAGTGGAAACAACAAAAAGTAATAAGGAGATGGATGTTGGGGGTGCCAGGTTGTCACTTCCTGTCTGTCTTGTATCTCTTAGTCTCAGTACCAAGGTGACAGTGAAGACAAAGTTCATAAATTTGAATTCATTTCATCTGGTCAGAAAACTCCTTGTCAGTGGTGCCATCTGCAGGGCATTAAGGAATTTGCCAGGAATCTGATGGAATTGGGAGGGGAAGTAGTCTTTCTCCACCGGAGCTCAAGTATCTTCATCTGAGTATGTACTTAAATCACAGCCCTCCAGAGACTAAGAAACCCCTATTCCCTCTGATCTTGTGCCAGATAACTGGGCCTACATGAAGGATGTAGGGTTTGGGATCTCTCCTTTCTTTCCTGACAAATCCGTCAGCTGGTAAAAGGAGGCCCTGGCTTCCTCTCATTCTAAGGGTCCCCTCAGGGAAGTTAAGAATGCTGGTTGTGAAGGCACTTAGCATTCCATGTGGATAAAAAAAGGTTAGCTGGCACAATTGAGGTTGTGGCTAATTATTACCATTGTCATCAACCTTATTATCTTGAAGTAGACCTCCACTGGGCTAACTTATTTCTAGTTCTTTTTGAATGAATGGCTCTGGAGTGCTGCGCCTAGAGCTAGAACTTCCTGCTCCTCATCTCAAAAGCCTGTGCCCACATCTCTAAGCTTACAGGTCCCTTCAGACTTGATTGTCCTCTTTGCCACTCCCTTCTGAGAAAGGCAGAACACAAATCTGTAGAGCAAAAGGGGAAAAGGATTCAGGTTAAGAGACACTATTGACAGATGAGAGGTCATGTCTGTTCTCTAAACTCTTCAACCTGAGACTCATCTTGACTAGATTAGTAGAACAATAGAATAACATTTTGTCTGAGGGAAATAATCCCTATTTATTTTTACTTTTCTTGGTACCTTCTGTGGGCCATAGAAGTTACTAGACACTGTATTTGCTGCTTGGGTAGAAGCACAGACAATGAGATCCTGAGGCCCCTTCCTATCCACAATGCTTCTAGTTATTTTCTGGATATCTCAGCATTTCATTATAGCCACCCTTGCCCCCATGTCCCTCATTTGGTATCATGTATACCGAAGACTTTGTCTACTAATCAACCGCTAGTCATGGTATTAATGTATAAGGTGATTTGGAACAGTGGGGAGAGAAGGGCATGCTGAATTGGATCAGCAAGTTGGGTCATTAATCAAAAGGTATAAAGGATATTTTAGGAGAATAGTTCAGTATTCAGTAGATGTTTGTTCTTTTTTTAAAATTTATTTATTGATTCATATAAAAGCTGGGAAATACAATGCAGAGGTACGGGATGGTGGTAGTGGTGAGAGGATTCACCAGAGACAGGGTGGGCAACAGAACAGGCAGACTGACTAAACTACACTGCTGAGGGGTGTAGTGGGCGAGACAAGAGAGGTCTGCCATGACACCTGGGTCACCTCCCTGGCTGGAAATTGAACTTGTGCTGCAGAAACTGCAGATGGCTTCATAGTGCTGTGCTTTAACCTCTTTCACCACCAGGGAGACCACAGATGTTTGTTCTACAGAACTTAAAAGACAATAAAAATACTGAAATTTGAGTTTCAACTGTTTAAAATGGAAAACTGCTATATTACAGCCCCCCTTTAAAAATGAAATATTGGTGGGGCCTCCCTGGTGGCCTAGGGGCTAAAGTGCAGCACTGTGAAACTAACTTTGGCCATTGCAGCATGAGTTTGATCCCTGGCCAGGGAGGTCACCCACATGGCACGGCAGACCTAACGTGCCCTGTCAATCTGCCTGTTCTCCCCACTCTGTCTCTGGTGAATCCTCTCACCCATTCACCTCTGGCTTATATCCCAGTTCTTGTATGCATAAAGAAATATTTTTTAAAAGAAATATTTCAAGTATACAGAGAAAAGAAAAAGTTATTTTCTATTAAATATAAACATTAAACCTTGGGGCTTAATATAGATTCCTACTGCTGCTTGCCTACTGTCATTATGTATTTTCCTTCCAATGACTAGCTCGGACATTTGTAGCAAATAGGACTTTATAGAAACAAAATTATAACTTCAAGTTTCGTTGGTAGGACTTAAGCTTTCTAAGTTGCCCTCTTGGGTCCCTCACTCTGGGGGTGGTCTGCTACCTTGTATGAGATCATTCAAGCAACCCCATAGTGAAATCCACACTGTGAATTAGTAAACTACCTGTCAAATGCCAACACTCACTTCAGGAGTAAACCACCTGAAGTGAATCTTCCAGCCTCCCAAAAGCTTTCAGATGACTCCAGCCTTGATCAACAGTTTCCCTGCTACCTTATGAATTACGTGGAGACAGAATTTTCCCATTAAGCTCCTCCTTAAAATCCTTGACCTTAGAAACAGCAGGTGATTGCTTTATGCCAAACTTGTTGGGCAACTTATGAGCAAAGGAACAATAAAACTGCAAACACCTATCTACCTACTACCAAGTTATCTTAACATTTTGCCATGCTTACTACATACCTATCTTAAAAATATAAACAGCCTGTTTCTGTCTCCCCTGCACCTCAGAACACTGGAAAAGCAGATGGTACACACATTGCATACATGTGTCCCTAATTTTAGATCACCTGGCTACATTCCTGAGAAGCAAGCTGTTTTGGTTTACTTTTACCTCTTGCTTTGTAAAAGGAGAGTGTTTTGAGTCTTAAAATGGCCCTCCTTAGCGAGTTCAGCAACTTAAGTGCTTACAATTCGATTCCCTGTGCTTTAAATCCCAGCACCAACCTCCTAGGGCCTGAGTGGCTGTGCCAGGGTCTGCGCCGCCCCCAGCAGAGCTTCCTTTTTGAAATGACAAATCAGATTTCATTTACAGAGAAATAGGATTTAAAAGATGTGAAATAAATTGGGAGTTTTGGTCTTCCCTACTTGTATGTAGCAATGACATCAGACCCTAGTAATTGTGACTTTCGAACTTGAAGCCCTACTGGCCACCTCCTAGGTAGCCCTTTAGATGTAGCCAAATCATGCACTTGAAAGATGGTAAACATCCCCAAGTGCTGTAAATTCTTCTTGCAACCATGTTGCCACAAGTGTGGATGGTTTATCCTTAATTTTGGGTTCCCTCCTTTAACAGGACTTTTAATAACCATGAATTTGAACTCTGCAGTATTGTCTCTCTCCATGTTTTTTTGAAGACTCACCAGACAGACCTGGAAGCAGCAGGAGGGGCAGGAGGCCTGCCATCCCATGTGGGTACCTCTGGGGTTGGGGAATGTGTACTGAGGTAGCTGCAGCTGGTTCGCAGCACTGTGCTTTACCCATAACCCATTGGGCCACCAGGGAGGACCCTTCTCTCCACTTTTAAAGGCTCAGTGTATGGACCCTCAAGATTCCACCAAACTGCAGTTTTTTTTCTTCCCAAGGAGGTATGGTGATTTACATTACTTTGACAGGTTAAGCTGTTCCCTTTGAAAAGCACTCATATTTACAAAATACTCATACTTAACTCACTAATTACCCAGTAATGAAGAGCAGATTAACTCTGGTCTAGACTTTCCCTACATAACTTTCCCCTAGGACCCTAATGACCTGGATTCTAAAACTGGCTAACGTGTGTTAACAGACCTCAGAATCTGCCTGCTTTTCCAGTTCAGTGTGCTCCCTTCCTTTCCCCTGGGCTCCATAATTACATCCCCATTGTGTAGGTCTGAATAAGCAGTGTAGTATGGAGGACCGAAGAAATCAATTTAAGAAGTCAAACTTTCTTAAAGCCTTTACTTCAAGACATGATGGAAAACAGACACACATGGAAAAGACATGATTCACAGTTGAAATACAGTCTAACCAGAATACTTTAGAGCCTATTAGCTAATGTTGAAGCTGAATTATAGCATGACATGCCGCAGGACCGAAAGGCCATTTTAGTATTCCTCTCCTTCTTCCTCACCCTCGCCTTCCACAGAATCCACACCAACCTCCTCATAATCCTTCTCCAGGGCGGCCATGTCCTCTCTGGCCTCGGAAAACTCCCCTTCCTCCATGCCCTCCCCCACGTACCAGTGGACAAAGGCCCGCTTGGCGTACATCAGGTCAAACTTGTGGTCCAGGCGGGCCCAGGCCTCAGCGATGGCTGTGGTGTTGCTCAGCATGCACACAGCCCGCTGCACCTTGGCCAGGTCTCCCCCGGGGACTACCGTGGGAGGCTGGTAGTTGATGCCCACTTTGAAACCAGTAGGGCACCAGTCCACAAACTGGATGCTGCGCTTGGTCTTGATGGTGGCAATGGCAGCATTGACGTCTTTGGGAACCACATCGCCACGGTACAATAGGCAGCAAGCCATGTATTTACCATGGCGAGGGTCACACTTCACCATCTGGTTGGCCGGCTCAAAGCACGCATTGGTGATCTCTGCCACAGAAAGCTGTTCGTGGTAGGCTTTCTCAGCAGAGATGACGGGGGCGTACGTGGCCAGAGGGAAGTGGATGCGGGGGTAGGGCACCAGGTTGGTCTGGAATTCTGTCAGATCGACATTCAGGGCTCCATCAAATCTGAGGGAAGCCGTGATGGAGGACACGATCTGGCTAATAAGGCGGTTAAGGTTAGTGTAGGTTGGGCGCTCAATATCGAGGTTTCTACGACAGATGTCATAGATGGCCTCGTTGTCCACCATGAAGGCACAATCAGAGTGCTCCAGGGTGGTGTGGGTGGTGAGGATGGAGTTGTAGGGCTCAACTACAGCTGTGGACACCTGGGGGGCCGGGTAAATGGAGAACTCCAGCTTGGACTTCTTGCCGTAATCGACAGAGAGACGTTCCATCAGCAGGGAGGTGAACCCAGAGCCAGTGCCCCCGCCGAAGCTGTGGAAAACCAAGAAGCCCTGAAGACCCGTGCACTGGTCAGCCTGTGGGAAAAGGATAAAACATAATCAAGGCTTTCTGTGATATAATTGTTTTTAATCTATTTTTTCCATACAACTTCAAGGTTATATATCATTTTGCAATATGTTTTTAAAAATCTAAGTCTTCTTGGAATTACTCAGCATTTTTGATAAAAAATAAAAATATCTTCCTTAATGTTTATTATTAAATGATACCAAATAGTTCACATTTTAAATGAAAATAAAAAAAACTATAAAGGAATAATGCATTTTACTTTTATTACCTGTCAATTCTGTATCTGGAAAAAAATGAGCATATTTCAAAATGCTTTCCTTAGGCTGACTAAGACATTTTTGAGAACAAACATACCAGCTTGCGAATTCGGTCCAAGACCAGGTCGATGATCTCCTTGCCAATGGTGTAGTGCCCTCGGGCATAGTTATTGGCAGCATCTTCCTTGCCTGTGATGAGCTGCTCGGGGTGGAAGAGCTGGCGGTACGTGCCAGTGCGAACTTCATCTGGAGAAGGGAACAAGCAGCAACCCCATCACTGACAATCGGCAGCAGGCGCCCCCAGGACCCACCCTGCCCCACTCACTGGGTTCTCATGTGGGCGTGTGAGGTCGACTCACCAATGACAGTGGGTTCCAGGTCTACAAACACGGCCCTGGGCACATGTTTGCCAGCGCCGGTCTCGCTGAAGAAGGTGTTGAAGGAGTCATCTCCTCCCCCGATGGTCTTGTCACTGGGCATCTGGCCATCGGGCTGGATGCCATGCTCCAGGCAGTAGAGCTCCCAGCAGGCATTGCCGATCTGGACACCAGCCTGGCCGACGTGGATGGAGATGCACTCACGCTGTGGGAGAGAAGAAGGAAAGGATGTCAGTACTTCATCTAATGCAGCAACTACTTAAAACAGAACAAGTTATGGATTCTTAAGCTTATATATTTTCCCTTTTAAAATGAATAAAATGTAGCACTCTCAGCAAGGGAAAATCCTTATGCTGCCAGAACTTTTTCCTCTGCTCGTTGGGGATGGTCTATTTCCAGAGCAAGCAGAGAGCTTAATCACAGCTTCTTTCTTTGTGGGATTACCACAGGGGAGAGAGCATTCACCCAGTGCTCAGGCCCCAGGTCCCATTTTGAGTCTAGGTGATCAGATTTCCGATAGCCCCAGCACAGGAAGCACGTGGCCAGAACAGTGCAGAGGAAATGTCTGGCCTCAGGGACTCGGGTGGGGCTCTGCGGCACAAGATGAACGAGCAATTCAGCAGCAGGCGTCTGCGCAGCTGCAAAGGTCGGCAACAGCCACGTCACTGGGGCGCTGCCATGGCCAACTGTCCTCTGCCTGCAGGCGATGGGCTCAGCCCAGCAGCTCCACACCTGTCACAGCGCAGCGGGGGATTACCAGCAGCCCAGATATCGCCCCAGATCCAATTTCCATTCCCTCAAAAATCCCTCAGCACCATCACCTGCTCTCGCGGCACGCACGCCTAACAAAACCGCGGAACTCAAGGGAGAGCAGATGGCCCCTAGGTCGTCTGTGGTTTCTCATCCTAATACACTGGGGTAGTACTGCACACTGACGACGAGTCCGCCACATTTTTCTTATTTCTCCATTACAAAAAGGAAGAGGAAGAAACTCAGGAAAACAGAGGCACGCCCTCCTGCCAGAGACCGCAGCGCGCAAGTGCGCAGGCGCGTTGGCGGGTTCCCGCCGTCCCTTGGCGGGAAGGTAACGGTCGCGCCTGCGCCCTACGGCCAGGCTCCTTCCCGCCTCCGCGCTCAGCTAGGAGGAGGAAGTGAGGGCGGGGAGAGCCCGCGCGCGCGCCCTCGCTAAATGCAGGGGAAAGTGAGGGGGATGGGAACGCGCGGGAAGAGACACGGTCATGGAGGCGTCGCACCCGAGAGTAGGAGAGAAATGAAAGCCCTATGTGGTGCTCAGGGAGCGGGCCCCCCACTATTCCATCCTTGGAATTGGAGGAAACACGTTGGCCCCATCATCCCGCGCCCCAGACGTTCTCCCCAAACCTGGTTCCTCTACGTTCCGCCCTAGGCCCCGGACTCACTTTTTGCAAATGGCCAGCTCGCCCCAGCCCACCAGTCAGCAGCCCCCGCACCAACCCGGCTCGCTCTCCCCGGCGCTTCCCGGCGAGGCCGGCGCCGCGCGCGGTCCACTCACCATGGTGGGTCGCTAGCGGTAGGCAGGCGCAGGAGACGGGAGTAGACGCCGGGCGGGCCCCGTTACCGTCCTCGACAAGCTAAGAGTCGAGGTAAGTAACGCACTGAGGCGGGGGCGGCGCCGG